CCCACCCTCCCCGAGACCTTCCCTTTGCCCTTGAGCGGGGCGGGGCTGCCCGGGTGCTGCAGGTCGGCTCGGTGGCGCGCGCCTACGTGATGCTCTGCCTGTCGCTGTCCGCGCGCCCCGCGGCCCGCGCCCCGCGCCCTGTGCCCTGCGCCCTGCGACCTCCGCTCTGGGCACCTGGCCGAGGCGTCCCCTGAGCGTGTGTCCCAGACGAGACCCTCCCAGCCCTCTCGAAGGGGTCTGTCGCAGCGCCAGTCACCGCCCCCACCCCAGAGGCCCACGCTAGCCGGGCTGTTCTTATTTGATATCCTAGTGAAGTGACTCAGGGTATAAACATTTCAGAGAAAGAAAATGTTTGATATAGGAGAGGCTGGGATTGGGGAAATGGCAGGGTGAAATCGATGACATCACCCACGTTGCTTGAACGAACACCAGATGTGCCAGGTGGGGTGAGGTGGGGTCATGGTGCGGCTGAGAGTGGCTTCCCTGTCAAAGGCTTCAGAAGCACGTGTGTCTGGAGATGCCAGCACAAATGAGGAAGCTTCTTAAATGAATGGCATCCTGTCCCTCCAAAGAGACTAAAACGTTGGCACAGGAAGGGGAACTGGTCTTTTTTTTAAAAAAAGTAATGTGTATATAGATATATATATATCTATATACACACACACACATATATAATGTGTATATATATAATGTATATATATAATGTGTATATATATATATATATATATATATCTTTATTGATTTCAGAAAAAGAAAGGGAGAGGGAGAGATAGAAACATCAATGATGAGATCGAGCCCTCAACCCGGTCATGTGCCCTGATCGGGCATCAAACCCTCGATCTCTTGGGTTCTAGGTGGATGCTCAACTGTTGAGCCACGCCCAGCTGGGGCTGGGGAACTGGTCTTAAGCCTCCAGGCTTCAAGGTCAGAGTTTCAAGGTTATTTTACAATTTAGGTGCTATGCCTGTTGAAGAAAAAAAACTATGGGTCATTCTTTTGAATCCTTGTCCAAAAGTTTGTTGAACTACCTGGTAGTTGGCCTACAGGAACTCTGGGTAATGGTGCAAAGGACAGAATCAGCATTTTCTGTTACTTATTCTGGCTCTGCCACTTGTGAGCAGTTATAAAAAGAGTTCATTCAGTTAGTCCACACCTCTTCTCAACAGAAAGTGTACTTTGAGAACAAAAATTCTATGAGGAGGTTGCTTGGTTGGTGTCATGTCAGGTTAATAGGAGATGGCAGTTCTCACCTCAATGGGTAACATCACATTTGATGTCCTGATGCTCTCAACTGGTGCATCTGGGCTGTCCTACATTCCTGACAACCCACCATGGCCACTTGTCTCCAGCCCCTCCAGCCCCCTTCCAGGCAGGGCTTTGGCTGTTGACTGTTTTTTCTTGGACTTCATGAAAAATGCCAGATCTCCTATTTTGATTCCATGTTGGCTCTGCCTGAGCGTTTGGATGCATTTCTTTCTGAGGAAGCTCACCCAAGACATGCTCAGAGGGCCTGGTCTTGGCAGCTGCAGATTTTCTGACCCTTAGAGTAGGTTATTCCCAGAGATGTTTTGTACTGCCCACCATTCTTTCACCACTTGATCTTGATTCTAAATTAGATCAGTGTTGGATTTCCTCTGAGATAGAAGAATTTTACTCATAGCCATAGATAAAAAAGAGCATACTCACAACAAGAGCATGCTCATGTCTACATTTCCTGATAATGTTCTAATCAGCTGTGAAGTTATGGTAAAATTTCATACTGAGACACTATAGCTGCTGTATATTGGCACCTTTTATGTATTAGGGGTTTTACAGGTCTTGTTTCCAGGCCTGATTACATGGCTCTGAGACATATGTGTCTTCATTTTGGAGGTGGGACAAAGACCCATAGTGAGATAACTGACTTAGCTAAGGTTATGAGGCATTTAGGCGGCAGTGGCAGGATTTAAGCTGTTTTCACAAGATCTGAATCTAGAGGTTTTCCAGTCTGTCGTGCTCTTAAGGGACCTTTCTCAGGTGAGGTTGTAAAGTCTAGTTAATGCTCCAAAGTGAGCAAAACCCAGTTTGCTCAAAATTATACAGACAGTTTTTAAGCAGCTTTTTAGTGGAACAGAAAATGCCTTTTTACAGTGATAGCAATCACTTTAAAATACAGTGAGAGTGGCTAAAGTGATGTAACATTTGATTGCAAAGTGATGAGATACTTTTTATTCCCAATGGAATTTGCATTATATATATATTTTAAAACATCATAAATCCCCCATCTATATTCCTGACCCCTTACCCCCACCCATTAGGGAAGAGTATTTTTTTCATTGTTTGGGTTTCTTTCGTTGTCACAGGGAATCTGCAAATTTAAACTGATTTTCATNCTAAGGCTAGTTATTTTTTTCATTGTTTGGGTTTCTTTCGTTGTCACAGGGAATCTGCAAATTTAAACTGATTTTCATTTTAATCTAAAATAAATTCCACATTGCCAAATGGGCAGGCTTAACCATGACTAAGTACCCACCCTCGAGCAAGATTGTGTCACGTACCAAAAATGACTCATCATCTCAGACACTGACTGTGGACTTCTGGAAGGTCTGGTAGGGCTGAGAGTTCTGAGCAATGGGGGTAAACCTTAAGGGCAGAGTGAACATGAAGGCTGAGTCCTTTTTTGCCCATGGCAAAATAAACAGAGCGTTCACATAAACCAAGTCTATATTAAGGCTTCCCATTAACAGTAAGAATAACTAAAGTTTAGTGATCATTGCTATGTGGCAGGCACTAATGCTTCATGTAGTAACTCATCCCCATTTGACACATAAGCAAGGGAGATTTGAGATAAGCCAAGGGTACTTTGTACATCTCAGAACTTTTTTTTTAAAATATATCTTTATTGATTTCAGAGAAAGGAAGGGAGAGAGAGAGAGATAGAAACATCAATGATGAGAGAGTCATTCATCGGCTGCCTCCTGCACGCCCCCAGCTGGGGATCGAGCCCACAACCTGGGCATGTGCCCTGACTGGGAGTCGAACCTGGATCTCCTGGATCCGAGGTCAATGCTCAACCGCTGAGCCACGCCCAGCGGGGCTACATCTCAGAACTTTGAGATGTCATCTGCTAAATAGTAGGGCTTCAGTGGAAATGGGAAGGGGAGGGTTGGGACACAGGTGTCCTTCCCCAGTGTCTTTCTGGTGCCCAGCACAAGGGCTGGCAGCTCACTAAAGAGTGTGGGCCAATTCCTTCCTCTAGGCATTCTGGCTGTTTTCTTTTCACATGAAGTCATGTAAATAAATTAAATCTCTGCTAATCCAAACCACTCTTTCATCTCCTGAGCAATGTCTGGGGATGATGAATTCCTAGAGATTAGCAGTCGGAAATGTGAGGTAATGTGGACAGGGCCCAGACGTCTGGTCCTTCGTTGAATGTGTATTTCTTGAACATTGTTTTGGGGCACTGCTTGGGTGTGTTCCTTCTGCACCTGTCCTGAGCTGTGCTGGCATTAGAGCCCAGTAAGATACAAAGGGCAACTGAGAATAGTGGGCATCTCTCCTCACGGCTCCAGCACCTTATGGTCCTGGAACTCTGTACCTCTACATTGTGTTTGCAGTGTAATAATTTAACAAAAGTGATTGGGCCTAGCAGGCAGTGTGTTACAATGATAGTGTTAACCTCATGTATACTTT